GGTTCCCCCAACCCCCAACCCAACCCCCCCCCCCCCCTCCCTTAGTGCAGCTGCTAGTTTTTCCTCTTCATTTACTTAATTAAAACAGTGGCCTGTGTTTTCCTCCTTATTACTCTACATTTTCTTCTCTTTTGTCTTCAAATTACTCCTCCCTTTTTCCCCATCCTCCCATATCCAAACCCCTCACTACAAATTTGTATTCCTGATTCTAAATTTGAAAAACAACAACACTCAATAAATGAATCTTAAACTTTATCATTCTGAACTTAATTAGACGAAACTTGTCAGATGTTGGCAATAGACTGATAAAGGTAGAGTTATGGGTTGGATAAGTAACTTATTGTAATAACTTAAATCAATAGTGCCTTGTGTTGTTCTTGTAGGTCCGATGTTGGGATCATTTTTAATTAGCGCTTCTTTCAGGTCCTGTGAGTTTAGGCCAAAGTCCTCTGTGTGTCTGTAAACTGGATGAGATATTCTGGACTAGGTTGACATACTCTTGTGATAACTTGTCAGATATTTGGATTCACAAGTTGTCAAATATGTCAGCTTGGTTAGTGGCCCTCTCCCATCATTCCTGGAACGCATCCTTCTGGCATAATGTTTTGATGTGCTGTTGAAGTCGTGACATTGTGTAAACAGCAAGCCAGTTGGAGGAGGATGGGGTGGATGGATGGCTCAAACAAAACACAGGACTTTTACTAAGGAAGTGGAGGATGTTATAACAGGGAGATATTTTGTATTGAGGATGGTTACTGACAGAGGAAAGCAGGAAAGAGACAGGTGTTTGTGTCCTTTGTGAAACCAAAAGTCAACACAGACTTCGTTTTAACTTAGTTTTTTAACTAAGTTACGTTACATTACCTTTCGTTATGTTGCCATATATTACATTACCTTATGTTACCTTACTTTACCTTACCTTACTTTACGTTACATTACCTTACGTTACCTTATGTTACTTTGTCACGTTACCATACGTTAGGTTAACTTACGCTATCTTATGTCATGTTACCATATGCTATGTTACCTTAAGTTAACTTGAGTTACGTAGTTTATTTTAACTCAAACCAGTCTTTTCCTAAACCTACTTTTTGTTCCTAATCCTACCCAAACTGCGACCATTTAAACTCATAAAATGTTAAATAAAAAAGCTTTATTTTAAAAGTTTAACCAGACAGTGCATGTTTATCATTGCTAACTTGACCATGGAGCATGTGCAAAGTTGACACTAGAGGTGTACTTACAGGGTCTGTTTTCCTAGTTTGAAGCAGTGGGGCACTGATAAAGCTGCCGTATTTAACCAGTTGGGAGTGAGAACGTGTTGTGGTGTTGGTTACGTGACAGAGTTCATGTCCCATCACAGACTTGCAATTATAATGTTTGTCTTTTTATTTCAAAAATTGTGCCTAATCAGAGGTTTGAAGAATTGTTGAATATTGACATTATTGTCTAGTGATGAGGTTGATCTTAACAGAACCTCAGTGCCTGGAATGGATTCACCTTAGTCTCTATTCAGCATCACATGAGGAATGAGACTTGGGATGGTTCAAGTTTTTAGCATTAAGAGCAGTTTTATTTATTATTTATTATTTGGTTGTGGTGGTACACTGTAGAACTTGTTATATGGCAAATGGGGTAGTTAAGGTCACATCCAAACAGTTGCTGAATGATGACATATTATTATTCTTTTTTGCCAGAAGAATCTGGGGCTAAACAGCTAATTTAGCTTGTCTGTATCTCGTGTACATACAGCAATCACACACACACACAATCACATTCTTTAACTTCACAAATGTCCTAACTACCTTGTGCACAAAATCACTCTAAATTAAAGAGACAAGTGGAAAAAGGGAGGAACGTTTCTTTGGAGGAAAGAGAGAAGTTCATTTTAATATTAATATAACAAACAAAGGTACTACATTGAATACTGATTGGAGCTTTTTCATCTTTGATGTTGCAGGCTAGCCTTTACAGAGGAGGGTGCAGTCGCTTCACTCCCTACTAGAAAAGAGGGAGACACGCCCCCTTTCCTTCCCCGCAAAACAGACACAAAAAAAAGACAGCAACAAATGAAATCACTAAATATCCATCTTCACCTTCTTCATGGAAAACTAAAAACAAAACGCTTCCAGGTGGCAAATGTGACCCTGAAACGCAAGAATCTCAAGTTGCTTCCCCATTTACAGAGTTTACACATAGTCATTTGTTGATGTAATGTACTTATTTTGGAAAAGAACATTGTTTTGACCTGAATGTATTTGCACTGACATGTCTGTAGTTGAAGAAAGACGACAACAACAGTCAATGTGGACAAAGTGGGGAAAGAGTTGAAATGGCAAACTTTGTCTTCCTCCTCACTCTTTTCCTCTCCAAGTTATTGGTCTGCAGCTCAGCTCCTTTGGGGTGGCCTTTTGCGCTAGTTTTAATTCCACCTAATTTCCCTACCTTTATTGTTTCAATTAGTCATTTCCCCCATATGCATTAAAAGCACTACTGTTCAGCAATTCCAACAAATTTCAGATTGGACTTATAAAGTAAATAGTACCGTCATTCCATCCCCCTAGAGAACTGGCTCCATTCTGAGTGAGCCAATAACTGGATCTAAGTTTCAGACGGCCTTAATGGGACTCAGAGCTGTTCAGCCCAAAAGAGGTGAAACTGCAACAAAATGGCTACCAGGAAGTGATGCATTGTGAAAACCAGAAGGCGAGAGGAAGAGTGTGATGTATTGCTGAATCTGAATGCAGGAAGAAGTGATTTATGGTAGGCCATGGAGCAAGAGCTATGGCAGCCATTGCAAAATGGGCAGCAGTGTGTTAGTGTCCATTGATCGTTGGCATAGTGCCACAGGCAGGAGGTATCCCATTACTGTTGAATGGAGAAAACAACATTATTTTCACACAATGCCTCTCACTGTTTCATGTCTCCTCATGCCCTGCACATACTAAGCAATAATGCCACATATGGAATGCTAACAAATATGTTTGACTTCTTAGTGAACAGATGTGAGAGTGTGATTTTTCTTGAATTTACTTACAAAGACATCTTAATACAATGTTCGTGTTAAAGCTGCATTAATTGCATTTTGGCCACTTAGTGGTAGAAAAATATCAAAACATGCTGAAGGATAAACCCACCACAAACCCTAATCATCTACCTTCACATTCAGCAGACACAGAGCATCTTATCATTCATTTAGAGTTGTGTCTGTATCCCGATGATGAAGTCCAAAATTTCCAATATATCCTGATATAATACTCGTGAAAGCTCTAACCAGTCAACTGTGAATGAAATATCCATCCCGTATATATTGGGAGCAGTTGGTATGATCAGTTTTTGTCACAATGTTAAAGTAATGTTTTTTTTTTAAAGTACTACTACTAAAACTGGCTGGGACTGCTTCCTGCTATACAGTGTGATTATCCCAGGAGAGGTTTTATGAGGGTTGCTCCTTAAACATCGGTGCCCTAGAGTTGAGTCTTTTCCTGACACAGTCCCCGTTTCCACACTCTGCAGTTCCAGATCTGAATGCTAGGCAAGCATGTGAACCCGACCAGACCCTTGCACTGCAATAAGGACGATGAACCAAACAGGAAAATAAGATTAATTTCAGGAAATTCTGATTCAGATACAATCAGTAATCAATACAAGGTTTTTAACAAATTTACCATTACTTTACATTGTCTCCCCACATATGTTTACCAGCTCATTATATACCTGGAAACTAAAGCTGACTTGCTTACCAAAATTTACAATACAGCAGGTCTAGACTATAACTGGCAGAAAACTCGAGCAGGACCAGGCTCTGGGTGGGTGGTCAACTTCCTTGAGAGACAGAGGGAAGAGAACAGTTGCAACAACTGGAGAGTCTTGAGGGACTTATTGAGGCAGCCTGATAATGAGGAAATGCAGTAATCCAGCCTAGAAGTAACAAATGCAAGGGCTAGCTTTTCTGCATTTTTTTATGGATGTGTTGTTCTTTTATTTTGTGTTACGTAGGTGAAAAAAGCAGTCCTTGAAGTTTTTTATATGTGGGAGTCAAATGACATACCCTGATCAAAGATAACTCAGAGATTTCTAAAGGTGGTGCTGGAGGCCAGGACAGCGCTATCTAGAGTGACCATATGTTTACATTATGTGTTTCGGAGGTGTAAGGTACAAGAACTTCAGTTTTGTCTGAGTTTTTTAGGGCATGTTTGAAGTTTAACTTCACCTTTAATGTGGAAGAAACTCCTTCCTGAAAGCAGCTGCCCCCCTCCTCATTACTGACTATCCAATAAAGGGAAAAACAGTGCAAGATACTGTCTACCAGCAACTTCAGTCCAACCTCAGTTGTGTAAGTTATTGTTAGCATTGAGAGGGATCTACTACCAGTTTTACAGGATAAGTTTTAGATCCAGGGAGGAAATCCAAATGATGTCAAGTAGAAGAAGGAATTATAGAATCCTAAGTGCAAACAGAAGATCTCTCACTGGCTTGAGTTTGATTAGTTTTCAGTTGGATGAGTTGTCACCCAGAGCTCAAATTCAAGACCAATAAAAAAAAAAAGGAGGGAGTACAAAATTGCCGGTGAAGTCACTCCATGGACAGATGTTAACATCAGTCATGGTTAAAACTCTATTGTATCATCTGCGGCTTGAAAACAGACTCAAAAACTCTGTTTTTCACTCATTCTCCACTGAAAGATTGACTCTCAAGGTGACCCCCCACCCCCCACTCCCAGGTAGAGTGTGTTTTAAGAGGTTGTCAGGCTGGTGTGCAAAAGCAGCTTGATGAGTCCTGGAGGGTCATTCAGAGAACAGAAAGGCTGCTCAACCTAATAACCCCAACCCTCCATCAAAACCCCAGATAACCGTTACGAGGTAAGAGTTTTTCAACCTTGGCTCAGAACCCTGAATGGGGTCCGCTGATACACAGAAACTTTAGAATTCTCCTAAGCCTGATAAAGATATTTGTTGAAATGAGCAACTGAATGGATGCATTTCATTTTTTCAATATAATTACTTTGACAAAGCTCTAATGACAGGAATTTCAAAAATGAGACTAAGGGCCAGAAAAGGTTCAGAAGGCCAGTCTTCTATAAGGAAATAAAATTGGAAGAAAATAAAACATAATAATATATTTATAACTAATTTGACACATACCAAAATATGCTCAGCCCTGGAGCGACTATAAACAATAGATACTATAAATAGATATTTATTGAAAGATCCAGTGTGTAACATTTAGAAGGATCTATTGTCAGAAATGCAA